AGGGTGCGTCTCAAAAGTGGCTGACTCCTATATTATATATATGATTTTTTCAGGTAAAATAACGAGATTTGGTATGTTAGTGTATGACATAAAATAGGATTGACTGACGTATTCAATTGTTTTTGGTTACTTCCTGTTTCACCGGAAATGACTACATGTTCCGTATATTTTTACTTTATTCGATAGAAAATGGCGCTCTGAGTAGAATGACATGGCATATGTCAACTTTTGACATTTTTGCTTAAAAAAATCGTATTTTATATTTCAATTTACAGTAGACTTCCATGGCTGTGTTAAAAACACTAATTTTCAATAAAGGACCCTTGAAGAAATATATTTGATCGTCTAATAACCGTTAACCCAAATCGTATTTTTAATCATATCTTCATTTCTTCAAATGGAACAAGGGTGGCTCATTAGCATATTTGGAAAAAAGCATTTTTACGAATAATTTGGTACCACACACTTGTTATTTCGATTAAAATTGTCGTTATGAACCGCATGTTTCAATTTCAAATAAAACATATGCCATATGATAATATGTCATTTGACATATGATATGTCATTCTATTCAGAGTGTCATTTTCTATCAAATAAAATACAAAAATAAAAAAAATACCGAGAGTGTCATTTAAAAATCAAAGGTTGTAGTCATTTCTGATGAAACAGGAAGTGACCAAAAACAATTCAATTCGTCAATAAATCCTAATTTATGTCATATACTAACGTACCAAATATCGTTTTTTTATCTGAAAAAAAAAGTTATAGGGGTGAGTCACTTTTGAGACGCACCCGGTATATACCATCTCCCTATTTTTTCCACTATCCATGTTTATTTTGAAATGCAGAAAATTTATTATTATTTATATTTATTTATCTATTTTTTTTATTTCATTATACAAACGGCCAGTCTTAAATTAGTGCACATATTTTAGGGGTATTATATTTATATATAAGTTTTTTCGCGAAAATTGTTTTTGTTTTAAAATTTTTTGAAAAAAAAATTTAAAACTGGAAATTTTAAAACTTTGGAAATTTTTAAAGTAAATAACTCGGTTATTTTGGACTTATTTGAAAAAGGGTAAAGAGAAAATAGTTTTCTGTTATCGAGATCTACCAGTCCTGAAAATATTTTTACGTATTTACGACACACCCTGTATAAATTTAAATTTTTATTTTTGTGGTATGTAACCAGTAATACAAAAATATTAGAGGTCCTCGGTAAAGGACTTTGTTTATTTTATATGATGTAAAGGGCCATTAAATACACAATACACACTTATAGAAATGTTTCTAAAATTTTATATTTTTTTATTTCAGAATACAAATATTTCTTTTTTATTAAATCAAAAAGTTACATTTTTTTTAAATACAGTCAATCAGTTCTGTCTTTACGCCTGTGTTGCCAAGTTACTTGAGAACTCGGCAAACTAATTTATACATATAAGTAATAGTTCTTGAGTAATAATATGAACCTATATCAATTTTTTTGTAAGTATAAAACAAATTGAACCGTTATAAAATCACAATAAATCTAGTAAACATATAATATAACTATTGTTTCAGTAGAAAACATATTTTTTCTTGTTTTAGACACATCATAATTTATACAGCTTTAAATAGATAATAGCTTTTTTCGTTTTCCTGTTATTACCGATTCTGCATCGTCCTAGAACTCTGCAGCGCATGCGCAAATGAAATAATGTCTTCATATTTCCTTCTGCGCATACGCATCACAATTCTAGGACGGTTCAGAATCGGTAATAACAGAAAAACGAAAAAAGCTAATAAACATGCGTCCAATCTGACAACATTGACAGTGCGAGATTTTCAGTTGTTAGCTTGTCGTTATGTCGCTCTTTTCTCTCAATTTTTCTGATTTTTGGTGGAAAAAGTTATTTTTCTATAAACTATTTGAGTTTAATCTGTTGTTTAAGACCGTTTGAAAATGTAAGTACTCTAGTAACTTTTTCTGTACTTTCAAGTACAAGCAATATCAATTACATCATCATTGAAAACTGATACACTTTCCCTATTTTCAAGATTTTCTCTTTCAAAATCTAGTGTGTGGAAATATGAATATATTCCTTCATGCCTCTATTGTACATAAAGATGCTTTGAATAATAATATTTATTAATGCTCCATATTTAGAGATATTGTTTTTTTTACCTTTTTTTGGGAAGAGTTTAAAGATGTTTTTATTCCTAAATTTTTACATTTTTTTTATTCGTGCAGACAAATAAGTATTTTCTACGTCTTTAGAACGAGTCAGTGTTGATATACCTAAATGGGGCTCTCATTCTCAATAATTATATAATACTTTCAGATAAAATAAAATACGTTTAAACGGTTGTTTATTACTATACACAATTTTGCTTTGTTTTAATGTCTAATGCGTAATTTTCTTTTTTAGCAGCGTTATTAGTAATACCCTTGTATAGAATATATAAACAAGGGTAATACGGCACCAGTACATAAAGACCATCCAAAAGAAGAAGCCTGTGTCATCTCTTACATAATCCTTCTTTTTTTCGCCATCATTCTGGTGTACGAGATTGGTTTTGCATTATCTGATTAAAAGTATAAGTTTAATTTGTTATTTCAAAATAATTTTAGTAAATTTATCAAATGTTTTTTAACAGGCTAACCATATTTTTTATATATTTAATTTTAATATGAATCAAACAAAAAAATAAACACAATTATAGCATAATTAATAATATGTAATATTATTTATCTCTTTTTTTTACAGATTTCCTACATCAAATCAATGGATGTATACAGTTCCAAGGCAGTACATTTATTCTTTTCTTGAATATCACCATCCAAAAGAAGAGACTTGGGAATCACTTATATAATTCTGATGTTTGGCCATCATTCTGGTTTATGAGATTGAACTTACATTTTCTGACTAAAAGTGAGTTTAATTTGTCAATTCAAAATAATTCTAATACATTTATTAAATGTTAAATGTTTATTAACACGCTAACCATATCTTTAACCTTAATATGAAACAAAAAATCTTAAAATAAAATGTAAAATTATTTTTTTCACAGATTTTCTACAACAAATCCATGAATGTATACAGTTCCAAGGCAGTACATTTATCCTTTTCACGAATATTACCAACTATGCATCAGGACTTATAAGTATATTTAAAATTTTATTTATTTTGGGTAAATATATTTATACTGGTTTTAATTTTTATCAATGGATTTCATGATTTCTCAGTTTGATTAAGCAAGAAAAAAATTCCACTAAGTTACATTTTTATGGTTCCTTATTATCATAGCAAAATTCAGACTATCTGTTTTTAATTTTAGTCAAATTTTGTCTTTTGGTCACAGAAGTTTATGTCGTTTTTTAGTTTACTATCATTATTTTATAATAGCTTGCCTTCTATATTTTCTTGATTGTGGTTATATCATCGTTTTTCAATTCTACAAATTATTCATCAACTGTATTTCTATAGTTCTTATTTATACTATGTACTTAGAATTTTTCTTCAATTTGTTTATGGTAAATTATATTTTCTATAAAATATTTTCTTGACTGCATTTCTACAGGTGTTATTTGTGTTTGGTAAAATATACCATCTACTTAGAATTTTACTTAATTTTTTATGGTTAACGTTCATTTTTCTATAAAAGCCTGACTCTCATATTTTGTTCATTGTGGGAACAATAACATCGTTAATCGATTCTATAAAATATTCTATTGACTGTATTTCTATTAGTATTTATTTATTTGTATTATTTTTCTTATGGTGTCATTCTTCTATTACTTTTTTGCTTGTGCAATTCTACGTACAAAATTTTTGTTTTGATGGATTCATTTCCGTGCTATTTTTTCGGATCGTATGTCATGAATTTCTGTAATTTTCCGTATCCTGTTGCTTTAGTTTGAGTATGTTTAAATATAATTAAACATATTTAAAAATTGTAAAATATGGTCTAACTTTATTAACTAACAATTTCTGGCAGATCTGCCATTTAGTTAAAAAAACCTGGCATTTGGCACTTTTGGCATTCCTAGCATTTATTTTCCTGAGTATTATCGACTCCAGAGCATCATAACTAGCCTTTCCTAAGAGGAGGAGACCCGGGCCACCCCCTAACCCTGATGTTCGGCCATCGACGACCTATGTAGCATGTATAGGTACCCAAGGGAGTCACCACCCTCTGGTTGACGAGCTAGGTGTTCTAACGCTAGAGGCTTCGGCCGGATACGACCTGGCACCCAAGCTACGAGACTTCTTCGTGCACGTATCCCGTGACGTCTCGACAGTAGAGGGGGCGGGATATCGGACACATTGAAGATGATGAGGGGGGTCCGCCTGTAGGGGGTCCCGGTGGATGTCCGCTCGATGGGTGACGAGGGTGACCCGAGACGAAGCTGCTTAGCTGGGATGGGAACTGACTGGCGAGGCTTAATCGTCGCCCAAGGGTTAAATCTGATGAAGGGAGGCAAACTTATGTGCTCTGGAGGATTTTTCCCTCTAGATATTCGTTAAAGGTGGCTAAGCATAACTTATACCATACCATATACCTCCTTATTTTTTTAATATCATCCAAAATTTTTCGCTCCATTTTGCTTTTGGCCTACCTCTATTTCGCTGTTTTTGTCTGCCGTATTTTCTTATTATTGGAATATTGTCTGTCAACAATTCTCCCAATGATTGTTATATAAATTCTTATGTAATTTTTGTCATTCTTTTGAGATGTTTCTAAGACATATTTCATCAATTCCATTCTGTTTTATTATTTGTATTGTTTGTGTAATTTTTTTGTGTCAGACTTTGTATCCTTTTCTATGTCAGACTTTTATATTAAGACATCGTGTTTCCATATTTCTATTGCTTGTATTGAATTGTAGCTTTTTTATTCTTGTCATTTCAGTTGATCTCTCATTTCCATGCTAGTTTTTTTAATGCATTATATCTCTGTTTTACTATTTGTCCCTTATACTTTCTTCCTTATGGGAATGTCATCATTCATCAATTCTATAAACTTCATTATTTGTATTAAGTCTTCTTATAGTATGCAATAATTGTATTTGTGCCATTATTCTTTGACTTCTCTAAGTTTTATTATTTTGCTTTTATGTTCATTGTTTTCTTTTTTATTCATATTATTGACTATATTACTGCCATTCTTCTAAGACTCCCAAGTCTTTGATTTTATTTCCATCGATGCCTACATAGAATTGTATATTCTGTTTAAAATTGAGATTTTAAATGGGGTATTGTACTGCTTTGGAACAAGGATTTTTCCGGAAGGAACAGCTGCTCTTCAA